TTGAAAAAATGTTGGGCAATTTCAAGTATTTTCTCTATTTGCTTTTTATTTGCCCCTAACCATATCATGTTGTTGGCAAAAGCAACTGCTGCTTGTCTTATCACCACCTTTCTGATTTTGTTTTCTCTTATATCTAGTAGTTCCTTCTCTTCTATCTTGTATCCTAACTCAGAGTCATCTTGAATTCTGTATAGCAGTAGATCATAAAAAATTCTCTATATTAGCGGAGAGATTGTCTCTTCCTGCTCTATACCATCTCCTGCCTCAAACTCTTCTGTTAACCCAAATGCTATAATTATTTTAATCTGCCTTTTGTTAAATAGCTCTGTGATAAAATCAATAACTTGAACAGGTAGCTTTATTCTTGTGAGTACAAGCTTGAGTGTTTTAATTAACACTGAGTTATAGGCATTTTTCACATCTTGCAGCATTACTCATAGCTCTTTTTTACTTTTTTTAACATCTTCTATAACCATATTGACTAAGTTAATTATACTATCTATTGAGCAGCCAGGCAGCCTGGCAAAGTTCAGGTCTTTGAGCACTTCTTTTTCTACTAATATACTTGCAATTTGCTATGTAACTACATATGTTAAACATTTTCTAAAGGTTTCTAGTAATGCAATTGGCCTAATATTGTTCAGTTGATATTCCCAGTTTTCATTTTTTGGATTCCTCTTTGTTATTTAACTTTTCTTTTTTCTCTTTCATTTATGTTTTGTTTTTTTTTACTTTTTTTGATAAGTATAGATAGCTATATTATCGAGATTTAGGTGGGAAAAGTCTTAAAGAAAGGCTTAGGCTTTCTAACAAAGCCTCTAGTTTTGTATATTTTTTACAGACTAGTTCAGCAGATCCCACATGATAATGTTTCCTGTTAAATATATCGAGTAATATCAAATTTAAAGATTAAGGAATTAATATTGTAACTTTGTTATAATAAAAACTTAATAAAAGCTCTTAGCGAGACTGTCTAAGTTTAAAAAAAAATATATATTTGCCAAAACAAATCAAATATAATCATATTTGAATTTGATTTGATTTGAAATTTTTGTATTTGAATTTGATTTGAGTTCAAATATTTGATCAATCAAATCAAATCAAATTGCAGAACTTATTTAAAAGTATTATATTTTTATATACAATTAAGAATTTAGTATTTGTATAATATTTATATTGATTACTTAATCTTAAATTATGTAATATAAGGTTTTTGTTTTGAAAATCACCTTCTGATATTTCTGATTAGGCTAATTTAAACAAAATTAAATCTGTGTGTTTATATATAAATTTCTCTTTATATTTATTAATTTAATAGTTTATTGAATAAACTATTAGATTAATAAAGACAAAGAAGATTTATATATAAACAAAAACTAATACGCAGGTTTGATTTTGTCTAAATTAGGCTAATCAGAAATGTCAGAAAGTGATTTTTAAGGCAAAGACCCCATATATCAATTTTATTAAATCTATTATATCTGAAATTAATAACTTAATTAGATTGGCCAAAATAGAAAAATCATTCGATCAATTTTTATTAGATATTTCAGAAATTATGAAAGTAGCTATAAACTAACTTTAATTCTAGTCTAATCTTAATAATATTAACCAAATACTTTGTCTATAAAATGAGCTTTGGTAAAATAAACTTGTTGGTAAATAATTGTTAGTAAAATATAGTGTATACAAAGTAATTGTTAGTGAAATAATACAGTATGAATCTCTAGTCTGGTATAACTTTCTAGAGCTATTTTTTTAAAAGAATACAATTTTGTCAAAATTAAAAGTATTATATATAGCTAATATTAGCTAAATATTTAAAATAATCTTGAAGTATAGAATATGAAGCAAATATTTGGTTTATTTTGATTTGATATATGACAAATAAATGAGAGTACGAATTGAATATATAAAACAAAATATATTTTAGTGACATAGATATGAGTTTGTACTAAAATTAAATATACACTTATATATATATATAAATAATTAGGCTAGACCAGGCTGGGTCAGGTTTTAAACTTAACCCGACCAATAATATAATTTTTATTCAAGTTTGGGTCTGGGTTAAATTTAAGCAAGCCCAGGTTAGGCTCAAACAAACTAACCCAGCCTAGCCTATCTTTTACTCTAGTTAATATAAACAAGATTAATGCTCTTACAATATATCGTATTTAATATGAAACTACACTCTATACAACTTGATTCTCATTTTCTATTTTGTATAGAATATAATTTTTTTTTAGGCAAGTATTTATCTTTATAATAATACTTGTATGTTTTATAAGCTATAATATTATTTTCTTTTTCTGCTCTTACTATTTTTGTTTCAAAACCCATCTGCATTAAATAATATTTTAAGCACTTTTCAAGTAAATTAAAGAAAATAAAAGTTTGTTTACTATAGATTTCTTTAAAAGACTGTCTTCAGATTCATCATCAGAACCACTAATTTTGAATATACTATTAATATTTTTAACTAATGGCAATGCAACTGCTATTAAAGGTTCGAAAAGTAATATTAAACCAAAATTATTTTTTAAATAAAGAGTATAATCTACATAATAGTTATCAAAGCAATAATATATACTATTATTAATACTTTTAAATACTGGTAATGTATCTACTTTCAAATTTTTAAAAAGTAATACTAATCCAAAATTATCTTCTAAATAAATGGTATAATTTGCATAATAGCTATTAGAGAAAATATTTTCTGAATGAAAGGTATAATTTGCATAATAGTCACCAAAAAAATAATTTGAACCTTAAGCTTTAGTTATCTTGAAAACTAAAAAAAAAATTGTTGATTTAGTGTAGAACACAAAAAAAAGTAATTTAAAAAAAAGAATCGAAATAAAAAAAAGTAATTTAAAAAAAAATCGAAGTGAAGATGCTAGTAAAATAAAAAAGAAACTGTTGGGAGTAGAATATGAAAAAAAAATAAGAATTTAAAAAGTAAAAAAAAACTAGTAAAAAAAAAAATCATTAGAGTAGAGTATAAAAAAAAGTAATTTAAGAAAAAGAATAGAAGAAACGAAAAAAGACTAGTGAAATAAAAAAAAAATTTGTAAGATAATAAAAAATAATATAGTAAACCAAAAAAAGATAATTGTATAGAGTAAGAAAAAAGATTTGTATAAAAAATTAACTACTATATAAGAAGAAAAGAAATATATGAAAAAGAAAAATACTTATTTGAAAAAACAAAACTATATACAAAAAAGAGCTATATAACAAAAGAACTGTGTAACAAAAAAAGAGCCATATAATAAAAAAGAGCTGCATAAAGAAAAAGAGCTATGTGAAAGCTGTATAAAAATAAGAAAGAGCTATATAAAGAAATAAGCTATATAAACAAAAAGAAAAACTATATTAAGCAAAAAAAAATATCTAAAGAAAGAAAACTATCTAATAAAAGAAACATATTAAGCAAAAAAAAAAAAAAAAACACATGAAGCAAGAAAGAAAAAAATCTAAAAGAAAATAAACTATATTAAGTAAAAAAAGGTATTGTTTAAAAAACTGGCTAAAAGACAAAAGTTGTAAATAATAAAATGAAAGTAGGTATATATAGTATGTTTTATTTACTAAGTAGCTAATTAATCATACTAGATTATATATAGGGTAGATACCAATATCCATTAGTATAATATTAATATTTATTTATTTATTTATTTATTTTTTTTTTTTTTAATATTAAGGTGACCACTTAGGTCCCCGGCACTAAGCTTTATTCAGATAAATATGATATTACATCAATTTCACGAGGATACAACTAGCCACACGTGTACTTTTGATACCTAATTTAAGTAGTCCGCCTGGGTTCTACACTAGCCGCCATACCTGCAACCTAACTAGGAGATTACCTATTTAAGCTCTCTGATTATTACTAATGAGAGTACGACTAGCCATACATGCAACTTTTGGTTGCCTATTTAAGTAGTCTGCCCTAGGTTCCACACTAGCTGCCATACCTGCACCCAACTATGGGGGATACCCATTTAAATCCTCTGGCTCCATTTCTGTAACATGCTTTACCCTAACACCCCAAGGGATTAGCAATGCCGCATAGAGGCCCTAAGACTTTAGCCATATATAGGCATTTATCCTTGTGGTAAACCTAACAGAATAGTACATATCCCACACATGTACTCACCTGCATGTTCGGTAACTTTCCCCAACTAGTACATGTTGTGCTGCCACTACCAGGTCCGTATCTCAAGCTATCATTTTGGATACTGCCATAACCCGGTTCGTATCTCAAGCCACAACTTTCCTAATTAGTTCCCACTTACGTACTCCTGCCCTTGCAAGGTTCACAACAACCCCAGTACCTACGTTCCAACTTCCTTCTTTCTCGGATTCCTTACCGGTCCCTCCCTTACAATTACATCCTTTATCGCTAGCAAAGGAGTTGGATTGAAGTCTTGCGGCTTCAACGATGCTAATTGTTTTATTAATCAGTAAATCATCCAATTCTGAAAATTCTTTTGGTCCAAGTGGCACAACTTTACCAGCTAGAAATGCATTCTTTAAAACGCCAAATCGACATACAAGATGATACCTGTTATTTGGAAGTACTCAAAATATTTTACAGGGGAGTGCACAACGATCACTAGGTCCATGATCAATCTTAGCAATTTGAATTTTTACCAAATCGCTGACTTTATAAACATGTTCATGGATTTTATATCTTGTATGCATCTGATTTTCCATTTTAGAATAGTAGTTTTCAAGATTCTTATTAGCAACTTGGTGATAAATATTGTGCTGATAGGTTAGATCATTTGACATATCTTGAAGAGTATAAAGACAACACCTTTTGTTTGGAATAAAGTTATTTGAAATAGCTAATTCTGGGTTTTCCTATTTGTAAAAAATTTGAGTTAGAATTAATAAAATTTTATAATTATAAAAAAGATTACACAGCAATTCAAGATCTTGTCTCTCATTTGTTCCTGATTATCAGCCATGCCATCTTGCTCAGAAATTATTTAAGCGTTAGATGTTTCAATATCCTCATAATTAACAAAATGAGTTTGTTTATTAATATTATCCTTACTGGCACATTGCTTTATTGTGTAATCATCTTCTATGATATTAGAAAGTGGTATTGAAAATTGAGAACTTGGAATTATTAAAAGCCTATCGTCTAGTACAGCACTATCGTTAAATGTTTGAATTGATTCAGATACTTTATCTTGACTAACATTAACACTATTATATATTTAATATAATAAAAAACATTCCATAAGTTCGATTTGATAAATGTAATATTAATTTATCATTATATAGTTCGTTGCCCAAGATTCACTTACCCTTTCATCAATATAATAATTTTTTGTTCTCTCTTCGCTATTAGAATCAGAAAATTCATTTTCTGATTTAAATATGATAAATCGATGAGAATTAAATTTTAGAATAATAAAAAAAAAAAAAAAAAAAATTAAACTAACGCAATGCTCTTATATCCAAATCATGCCTTTCTCTGTTCTTATTATTTTCGTTTGCTTCTTCATATTCGAGTCTATGGTCATATCGCCAGGATGTTATATTAGGTCTGTTACAATTCATATCATTAAAATTGTTATGATCATAAAATACACTATCATAATTGTTTGCATTATAAAACATGTTATTATTATTGTTAGTATTATTAAACATGCTGTCATTATTGTTTGCATTATAAAGCATGTCGTGATTATTGATTGCACTATAAAATAGGCTGCCATTATTGTTTATTTCCAGATATCCAGAGTTATGATCATACTGTTGAAGCAATTCTTTGTAATTATTTGTATCATTAAAATCATCATAATCACTATTATCTACGTTTTCTGAATCTTCATCACCTTCAATTAGATTGGACAAATCCTCCTCTATATTAATATTATGCTTTTTCTATTCCTCAACTATATTAAAATAGCATAATGGATGCTGCCCAAAAGCCAATTCATATAGGTATGATTAGTAGGCCTAGAATGCTAAATATTCATTGCATTGCATAGATAACTATTGGAAGGCCAATACTCTAGTCCCTTCTCTTGTTATCCTCCATCCAGGTTGAGAGCACATTTTTTAAAGTTTTGTTGGAGCTCTTTACTGAACCCTGTGATTCAAGGTGGTGAGGACATCTATTAATAATATGAATGTCTTTCTACAAACTAAGAAGCTCATGAATTATTTGCGCGATAAACTCCTGTCCATTATCACTCTGTAAAATATAAGGAGGTCCAAACACTGTAAAAACAGAAAACAGAAATACAGTGACTTCTGATGCCTCTTTAATGTGCAATGGACATGTCTATGAAAATCTGGTGAAGTGGTCGTGGAGATGTGCAATATACCAGTATTCTTTATCTGGATATTTCTCAAATGAAACAAGGTTAACTTGTACACGCTATAAAAGCTTTTTTGATACAATGGTTTTTTTAACAATAGGTGCAAAAAAAACTTCTTCAGATACAACACTATGTACATTGAGCAACATATAGCTCTACAAATGATCTGGATACATAGGTATATTGATTGCTTATTACTTTATATGTTTTTTTTAAACCACAGTATTGGTGTATGCTACTATGAATTTTCTCAATAACCTCATAAAGATTTTGGAATGAACAAATAACGTGATCTGATTTTTTCTTATTTTGTATTTCTATAAGTTGAATTATAGAATTTTAGAATGTCTTAATATCATGTAAGTAAAAATTATTTTTTGCCCAATACTAATCTTTTGCATTACTATTAGAAGTGTTATTTAGATTTTTTAGAATACTAACAATTAAGTTATAATCCTTTTGGGTAATTATTACTTTTCTTTGCTGCATAGGTTTGCGATTTGATAAAAATTCTGATATGAGTTGATCAAAAGTAGCACGAGTAAGAAAAGGAAAATCTCCATTTGTATCTATAACATCAAATTTATTTTCTTAAGAAAACAGTGAAACTAAAAGTGTTGGTATTCCAAACTTTACACTATCGGGTAAGCTTTATTTTTATTTTTAAGTATTGTTTCAAACCTATATTTCAAACAAATAGTAAATTGATTTTATTGTTTATACTACGAGAAACTCTTGTAATTACATATTAATTATATTATTATTATGCATCGGGCATTAATTTAACAACTAAAAATAACCTCTGATCCAAGACTAAAACCTGTTTAAAGTAATTTTTTTATATGCAGTTTCTGCAACTAATATTATATATATAGTACAAACATGAATATCAATTATATCTCTAATCTGGGTAGCCTGTATAAGAATTCTAAATTAGGCTACCCTGATCCTGAATTTGGATAGCCAGATTCTGAATTGGGCAAATTTCTATTTAGCATAATATATATATTAGCAATCTTGATAAGCTTATATGACTTTGACTTAGATTTGAATATTTTTTATTGACTTTTTAGCTCCTTATAATTTATAGCTCTTTATTTTTATTTTAATAAATACAAGTATATAGATTGGTCATACTAGAGTTTTTAATACTTTATTATGATATTATTATATCTTTACTATTAAATATAGAAGATTGGAGAGTGTGGCGACTTAGTAAAATGGTGGAGTTGTCGCACTCCCAAACGGCAGGTCTAGAGTTCGAATCCCACGGACGACGATTTTGAAAAAAACTAGATCTGTATCAGTTAACGTTAAAGATTATTGGTTGGATCCAGATATCTGTAATCTTGGTCACACCAT